AGTCACGTGGTCGAACCTCAGGCGCAATCCGAGCAGTCATGCGTAAACTACGCGTCAGCAGCACCATCAGCAGCGTAGTGGCATGAGTGCACCCCGCCAGGATGCCCTGGCAGGCACGCTTCGCCTCCGAGAAGGAGTTGTACGCGAAGATCGTGCGCTCCTGCTGGTAGAGCAGCACGAGCATGTACGCCAACCTCATGGGATACTGATTGGCCCTGCACTCGTCAAGCAGCGCCTGGTGCCGAACAAGCTCGTAGCACTTGAGCATGTCTAGCAGCACGATCAGGGCATGGTCGCCCGTGAGGTGGGCCGTCTCCTTCTCGAGGGCCAGGTCGAAGGCAGCATCAGTGGAGGATCTGCCTCCCGTGTGCCCCCAGAACTCCTCGCTGGCGTTGTGCACCTCCCACTGGGCAGAGACAGGCCGACGGGCCCTCCCCCACACTCGAATGAGCGTGTTGAGGAGAGCGATCAGGCGCCCCCCTCCTCCTGGCTTTGGAAGGCGAACGAGCTTCGTCATGAACCGAGACTGGGGCCAGATGAGCAACTGCTCGCAACGACAGAAAACGGCGGCCATCGCATCCAGGGCTGCGTCGGACAGGTGGTCCAGCGCCCGCGGGGCAATCTTGACCTGCCCCGTTCCCGTTGTCCAGCTGAAGGCACGAATTGCACGACGAACGTCGCTGCCACTGAGAGGCGGCAGCTGGTCCCACTCCAGGTGGTCGCTGGGCAACTCGATCACCCCGTCCTCATGCCTCTGCCAGTACTGGTACCAGTGCTGCACCTTACGATCGGCCAGCTGGTACGCGTGTTGGACCCATGCGCCGTAGTCGATCACCTCCTGGAGCGCCAGCGGCTTGGGGAACTTGTGAGCACGGCTGGCGCCACCCTCGAACGACGCCTCGGCCCACGCATGCCAACTGGCGGCTACCTTCTTCTCGTGCGCCCGCTGCTTACCCTCTGCCTTGACAATGATGCGCTCGACCTGCTGGTCGAAGTCCTCCTGCGCAAACGCCAAGAGCCCACGCACGAAGAAATCGACAACCGACTTGTCAAGATGTGGCCATACATCAGAACGAGCAGCAATCCTTCTCAAGAAACTCTGAAATTCCAAGATGTGCCTCGCGGTCTTATCGCACAGCTTGCTGCAATACACCCTCCGCTGGAAGCGCGCTCCAGGAGCAGGCCCCTGCGGTTCGCCAGCGGCGGCGGTCGCTCCCCCTCCATTGTCCCCCTTTGGGAGGCCTCTGGCAACAGTGACAGGTGCCAGGGGTGGAGGGGGGACCGCGGAAGAGGACGCCGAAGGAGACCAGGACGCCGATCCAGCCGCCGCCGCCGCCGCACCACAGGACGCCGCCGCCGACGAAGCAACCGTAGCCGATGATGCCGATGGTTCCACCAACCCTGAGTAGCACAGACCTGGCAACACGAAAGTAGGAGGGTCAGACAGCTTCACGATGAACGATTCGAGAGCAGTGCGGACATGTCGAAAATGCCGCGCCCAGCGCGCTGCTGCAAGCCACGCTGCGACGTCAGGCGCCTTCCGCTTCCAAGACTGCCTCTCGTCGGGGTCGAACCTGGCCCACCCGAACATAGGCGACGCTGTTTTGGACGTGAACTTCGAAGCCTGCGGTCCGACAACATCGTACCGCCCCTGCAGCTCGAACTCGATGCCCAGCAGCAGCTGGTCCCACACGTCAGCCAACTGCTCCGAGGAGGTCGCCTGCCTAGTCTGGTCTAGCAGCGGGTCCCAGTCTGGCGGCGGCCTGGCGCAGCCGATCTTCGGCGCCTTGGTGAAGCCCTTGGCCTGCGCCAACTGCCGAATCCACATCGCCTGCGGCTGGGCAGACAACCTGACCGTGACAGGCAAGTGCGGCCACGTGTCTGCCTCGCCGACTGCTGCATGGCCTATCCTCGGCACGACCTGGCAAGCCACGAAGAAGAAGTCGATCGTGAACCCAGGGAGGGCCTGCAAGCAAGTCGGCACCGACGGCACCACCGCCACGCCATTGACGGAGTGCAGACACGACAGCGAGCCCAACTGCTTGAGCTCCATAGTGAAGTCTCCGCCCACGATCCACGGCATCTGCATAGTGTCGAGCACCTTTAGATACCGATACAACTTGAACAAGGTAGCCAGGTTCTCTGGCGACAACTGCTCGTCAACCCGCATGTACAGAGAGACCATGACGAAGCCTCTCTTGCCGCCGCAGTTGACGCGCGCCGCCACCATGCGCCCTGGCTCCAACGTCGGCCCCTCCAGCGCAGGGGGGCGCTGCGATGAGCACGCGCTTGGGCGCCAAGACCGCCGCGCCGCCCTGGCTGCCAGAGCCCTGTCCTGGAAGAGCAGCCTCCCAGACACCGTGGTAGCCCTCGGCGAGCGCGTCCTGCTGGGCCTTTGCCAGGGCCCCAGGCAGAGCATGATGCTCCTGCACAGCGACGCACATGCTGGAACAATTCGCCAGGTAGTCAATCATGGGGCCGCCTGACGAGACATTGATGGTGGTGACACCGATGGAGTTAGCCATTGCGATGGACGCGAAGCACAGCCACAGCAGAACACGAAAGGGCGCCAGGGCATCAGCAAGCAGCGACCGCCTTGTGCCGCTTGCACCCGTGCTTAGCCATGATCTCCTCGATCCTACGCTTGTCGCCTCCTGCACTGGCAATCTCCTCGACGAGCTCGGCGCTGTCGGCCGCATCCTGCTCCATCGCGTCGCCTTCGGCAGGCGGGCCACCGCCAGGCGCCCGCTGGGCCTCGGCAGCGGCAGCAGCAGCTTCGTCCCGCTCCCGCTGCTGCTTGGCCTTGGCCTCCTCGCTGAGCTGCTCGAGGCGCTCCAGGTCCTCCTTGAGGCGCTCCGACAGCCCATGCTCGGCGCCGAGGGAGTTGAGCACCTGGTCGAGCCCCGCCAACGTTTGGCCAAGCCCAACGATCGGCTCGTCCAGAGGCCCCTTGCCGTGCTCGGGCTGAGGCGGCAGCGGGGCCTGGCTCTGGAGCTGCCGCTGCTGCTCCTGCAACTCCAGCATCTGAGTGTCGAGCGTCGCAAGCTGCTGCAGCGCCGCCTGCTCCTGCTCCTGCAGCAGCGCCAGCTTCTCGCGGATCCCCACGAGCCGCCGCTGCTGGTCCTCCTGCAACTTCTGCTGCCTGCTGATCTGGGCACCGAGGTCGCGCAGCCTCTGGCCCAGCGGGCGCGCCGCCGCCAACTTCGCCTTGAGCTCCGCCTGCTCCTTGACGTACGCCTCCTTGGCACGCGCAAGGTGAGGATCGGCACTGCCCTCGACGGTCTTGAGCAGCTCGCCCAGCTCCCGCAGCCTCTGCTTGTCCTTATCTGACCCGCTGAGCCCCTCCTCTGCCTCAACGGGCGGGGCCTCAGCGCGCTTGAGCTTCGCGTTGGCGGCTGCCAACTCCTGCTTGAGCTTCTGCACCTGCACAGAGTCTGCCCATGCTGAGAAGGACCTCCCTGGCCTGCGAAGCGACGGCATCGGAGGGGCGCGATACTCCTTGAAGCAAAGCCCCTTGCCCAACTTGCACTTGGTGCAGGACGTCGCGTCGGCGTAGTTGAACCAAGGGAGGCCCTTGGGCCCGACGCAGCTCTTGCAGTACCATTGCCGCATGCTCTGCTCCGAGCGGTAGCGCTGCGGCACCATCCTGCAAGCTGGCCACGCGGGCCCCGATGGAAGCGAGCCGCCGTAGCAGCGCAACGGGGCTGCAGGACTGGAAGTGTGTGCCCAAATCCCACGGTGAAGGCGAACGGTGGTCTGGCCGCGGACTAGCGGTATCCGTGTGGTCCCCAGGGGCACCAATCATCTTGAGCCAAAATGGCTACGGACTCAAGAGGAGGAGGAGGAGGAGGAGGAGGAGGAGGAGGAGGAGGAGGAGGAGGAGGAGGGGGAGGAGGAGGAGGAGTAGGAGGAGGAGGAGGAGGAGGAGGAGGAGGAGGAGGAGGAGGAGAGGAGGGGGCAAGAGGAGGAGAAGGCGAGGAGGAGGAGGAGGAGGAGGAGGAGGAGGAGGAGGGGGAGGACGAGGAGGAGGAGGGGGAGGAGAGGAGGAGGAGGGAGGAGGAGGAGGAGGAGGCGGAGGAGGAGGAGGGGGGGAGGAGGAGGAGGAGGAGGAGGAGGAGGAGGAAGAGGAGGGGAGGAGGGGGAGGATGGGAAGAGGGGAGGAGGGGGAGGGGAGGAGGAGAAGGAGGGGGAGGAGGAGGAGGAGGAGGAGGAGGAGGAGGAGGAGGAGGAGGAGAAGGAGGACGAGGGACGAGGAGGAAGACGAGCAGGAGGAGGAGGAGGAGGAAGAGGTAGGAGGGGGTGAAGGAGGGGGCGGAGGAGGAGGAGGAGGGGAGGAGGAGGAGGAGAGGAGGAGGAGGAGGAGGAGGAGGAGGAGGAGGAGCAAGGAGGAGGAGGAGGAAGGAGGAGGAGCAGCAGGAGGAGGAGGAGGAGGGAGGAGGAGGGAGGAGGAGGAGGAGGAGGAGGAGGAGGAGGAGGACGAGCAGGAGGAGGAGGAGCAGGAGCATGAGGAGGAGAAGGAGGACGAGGAGGAGGAGGAGGAGGAGGAAGGAGCAACCATCTCTCGACGTCCCCGTCGAAATCTGCGGTGACGCCGCAGGCCTCAAACATGAGCCCAGAACTATCCCGACCCCTCCCTCTCCCGACGTCCCCGTCGAAATCGGCGGCGACGACGCTCGACGACGACGACGACGGCGACGATGACGACGACGACTACAATCTGGCTACTACCATCCGAACCGCTGAAGAAGGGACGAAGCACCTTCCTGGCCCCCAAAACGCATGGGTGCATGCACGCGGAGCGCTGGATGAGAAACCGGAGACTATGGAAGGATCACAGGAACAGCGAGCCCCTCCAGAGCCCGAAGTGAGCCAAGGTCTGTCCAAAAACACCTCCAGACGAACCCGTCGAGATCGGTGGTGACGACGCTCGTCGACGACGACGACCCTCGACGACGACGAGCTCGACGACGACCACGACGCCTACGGCGGCGACTAATCACGACGACGCCCGACGTCTACGGAGGCGCGCAGCCTGCCAATCCATGAAGCGCTGGTAGCCCGTCGGCCAATGGCCGCACCCTGCGTCCACGACGGTCCTCGCGCCCGTCCTGCGCAGGAAGAGCTCGAGGAAGCTGCGGAACTCCTCTCGCGGAGCGGCCGCCGTGTGCGACGAAGCCAGTACGCACGACAACGATGCAGGGGCCTCGGAAGGCCATGCCGACACGTTGCGAGCGGGGCGCGGCCACTGAAAGTGGCCAAGATGGGCCGAAGGGCAAGGATGCAAGTGCAACCTTGGGAAGTTGCTCATCCTTGCTATATGCGGGCTGACTGCAAGTCCAACTGGATGCCCACCAGACATAAGACGAAGCCGGGACGAGGGAAAACATCGGGTGAGGATACGTCGAGCATCTCGGAGATCCCCCGGCTCCGGAGGACGCCTCGGGCCCCGCGGCCTTCGCAGAGCCTGCCGGAGCGCTCCGAGAGCGTTCCGGAACGCTCCGGAACGGCTTTATGTGCGTCCTGGCCTGAGGTCGGGCATGTCCCCTACAGGGGGATTTTGGACGCAAACTAACAAGTACACCCAGAATCCCCACCAAAAAAACAGAAAATGATAGACACATCGTCCCCAGACCATGTTTTATACATTTGTTTTTGAACCTTCCTCCTGTAGAGGGGCAGGCCCGACTTCCTCCTGGCCCCGTCCGACCGCGGCCTCTCGGGGGCCCCCAAGCGGAGCCGCTGACGAGCCGGGACGCTGGTGCGCCCCAGGAAGCTGCAGCCGCGGGGGGGTCGAAGCGTGCGCCGTTCTCTCCGCCCTCCCCCGGGGGGGGGCTTCCAAACTTCTGGCCAGCGGGCTCCCGGCTTCGGGCTTAAGGGGCCCCTCGGCCTCGCACGACGTCGCAGTGCTGGACATCGCGCTGTCTCGCCAGGACTGCGGCCGGACCCCTCGCCCGCCGACGCCTGGACAGCACACGCGCAACCTGACTCGGCCTGCGTCGGGGAGTCAGCCGCAGCTCCTCCCCGAACGAGAACATTGAGCGGATGCTCCAAGGCTCCTGGCAAAGCCCACCTCCCGACGACACGCAGAGAGCACGGCCGGGGCCCTGGGCCCCGCCCGGCGCAGCGGCTGCCGAGACGGATCGATCCGCGGGAGATCCCCCTCTGCCTCCTGCTCCTGCGGGAGGGGGGGATCGGCACGTCGCCTCATCGAAATCGCCTCCTCCTGTCTGGACGCCCGAAATGGGTACGGAAAACATGGGCACAATGCCCAACAACAAGTGTTGCCCCAAACCAACAGCGGCCGCCGTTGGGCAGGCGGCCTTCTGCCTCAAATGGACACAGGCCGCGGCGGCGCGAACAGCGAGTCCTGTTCAAAATGAGCAGGAACTGCTGTTGGGCATTGTACCCATTCTTTCTGTACCCATTTCGTTCGTGCCGATCCTGCCTTCTCCCTCCCCTCACCTTATCCTCGATGGCGATGGCGGCGAACCGATTGACGACGACGACGACGACGGCAACAACTGACACCCGACGGCGACGGCGACGACGGCGGCGGCGGCTGCGACGACGACGAGGGGCGGCACGGAAGCCTGGGTCGTCTCCATGCGCGAGCCGAGCCCGGAGTTGGCCTCGTGGCCACGGTTCCACTCCCCCTGCGAGTAGATGCGCGAGAACGCCTCTTGGGCGCGGGGGGGGGAACACTGAGGGGGTCGGGGTGGGCAGAAGAAGGCAAAAGGCCAGAGCCTGATTTTTGGGCGCTCCGCGTGGACTTCTTGGATCTTCGCTGGACCCCGCTCCCTGGCGCGCGGAGCGCGCCAGGGGCGGCGCCGGAGGCGCCGCCAGGGGGGGGGGGAACCAGCGCGGATCCAACAAGTCTGCGCGGAGCGCCAGAAGTTCATGCTCATGGCGCTTTTTCTTCTTCGAGTGGGGATAGGGGGAGAGGACCGCCAAAGGTTTTCTGCTTTATGGCGTTTGTTCTTCTTCGAGTGGGGGTCGGGGAAAGGA